GGTAATTTTCCCGTAACTACTCTGTTACATGCCTTTATGTTATATTAGTATTGTGTTATGATTTCAGCTTCTTACTGTTAATATTAATGAATTTATTGTGAGTTGAATCGATTTGTCACTGTAATAAGTAACGCCATCACAAGTTATAATCTACATAAAATGACTAATGTAGGACGTATAAAAGACTTAGTGGTTATTTCGTGATACGTGTAGTGGAATAATAAAGCATGTTTGTATTATTAAGCATGTTTGCATTATTTGTAAATTTTTCATGAGCCGTACATACCCCCTTTCCCCCTATGAGTAGCCATATATCCCACCCCTATGAGATATACAGCAAAAATACAAGGTTTTAAAAAGTTTATTTTTTAATATGAAAAATAAATATTTCGGATTTCTAATATTTTTTTCATAGTAGTAGACAGTACAAAGTTTTTACTGATATAATTTGTTTACTATAAACATAGTAAATAATACTTAATAAATTAAGTTTTTGATAGGTGCGGCGTATATACCGGAGTTACCCCATATTTATTCATAATAATTAACAATTTTTAGAAAAAATAAATCTACATTATTTTAAATAATTATTTTAAATAATCTCTAAATTTTTTTCTTAAGATGATCCTGGCATAAAATTGACGAAATCAATATTATAAGCCAGAAAATACTTCAATTGGCTTCACAGAATTGAAAATCCTTTTACAAGTTTAATGTTTACACATGCCTAATGTATAATTGAAAAGCACAGATAATAAGAACAGGGAATAACAGATTTCAATCTATCAGAAAAGTGTTTTATTTTGGTATACACGGTTTCTAACAGATTAAAATTTAAATTGTTATTCCCTGTTTCTATTGCTTGTGCATTTTAAAGCGATGCTGGAGTGACGACTGAATTGATCAATGTCAATGTCTATAGTACAAAGCCAATTCGGAAATTTTTATAGAACTGTAATGTCTCGATAATTTGGTTACTCCAGCTTCCCCTTAATTGTGTCTCAGACATAAATAAATTCAGAAAATTAAACTTATGGATGCGATCACATAAGAGTCATAATTAGCGGAACTCTATGTAACCACACCCTAATCCAGGGTTAGACTAACATTAGAGGCTAACCTAGGCTATGCCTAGGGAGGGCAAGTTTAGGGCATTTTTTTAAAAAGAATTTCTAAAAAATAGGCATCTTTGCGAATGATTAAAAAAATTTTCCATCGATCGATGACTACTAGATTCGAATCAGGGATTTACGATCTTCGTGTTGATTTTGTTCTATCATGAAAAAATCTGAGAGGGGCCATGCTGGCTTTTTTCGCGCTATCATTGACATATACATAGAATAGAATAAGTAGATTTACAGCAAATGAGTTTGCTATTAAAAAAAGCGCGTAAAGAGTTCTATCGTAGTAAATGAAATGTATATAATTTCACAACTTTTAAGTATATTATAAAAAGATTATATTGTAATAAAGGTAAACTAGTAAAATCTTTACAGAAAATTCCCTTTTTTTGTTATTCATCGCGAACACACGCTTGAACTTTCCAATTTGAAGGTTGAATAGTGGCGGCAACGATTTAAATGCTTAGGGGCGGCAGAAATCTTAATCCGACTCTGACTTAATCTTTAATGTGAAGTAAAATGCATCTTTAACTATAACTCTCCCAATTAATACTGCAACTCATACCGATAAATCGGTTTGACTCATCATATCAAATAATTATGTATGATATTCTCTTTATGCAAACATTTTCTACAATATGCATAATCTATAGTGTATATTTATTAATAATAACATATCATCTCACTTTATCACAATAATCACTGTCAAAGATAAAACAAAATTGATCCCGTAAAAGATAATTTTCCTATATGTTATACACTGTGCCAACAAATTAAAAGGACACCTATTTTATCCTTCAAAAATAGGTAATTTTCAAGAGAGTGTATTTTTGTAAAAAGTAATTATAATGAGAGGATCCAAAAAATATTTTAGAGCTTAATGTCCCTAAAACTCAAAGTCTTTTTAAATCGGTATACAGTACTGTAAATAATTGAATGATTCTTTTTTACGCAATTATACAGAGATACAAATAAAGATCCGTCAAGTCTCAAAACTTCCACGAACTTTACAAAGTTTCAAGGTGTTAGTTAAAAATCTCACATGAAAACTTTACAGCTTTTGAAAGAGTGAATCTTTACCTTTAATTTGTGAGCAATAAAAGTAAAAGAAAATGCTTTTTGCTTCATTGTTGAATAACTTGGTGAAAACAATTATACAAGGTTCAATAAGTACATAAATTAAAAATACAGGTGCATTATTTTAAAAGCTGTAAAATTTGTATACAATTTTTAATTTGTATCATGGAACTTTGCAAAGTTTGTAAAAAAGTTTGAGTTTTGATGAAGCTCTATTTATATCTGTAAAAAGTTAGTCAGATTATTATTTAATTGTCGATCTGAAAAGTATAAGAGACTTTAAAACGCTCTTCGGATTATTTTATTATAATCATTTTTCACAAAGTTTTTTTTTTTTTTTTTTTTTTTTTTTTTTTTTTTTTTTTTTTTTTTTTTTTTTTTTTTTTGAAAAAGGCCCATTTTTGGAGGAATTTGCAGAATAGATAATTCCTTAATTTTTAACGAATATACAGTGTATATCATTTAAAAATATTGTTGCAGTTTTAATTCTCTGTTCGTGAACGTTTTTTGTAAATATATAGGATGAACTGTTCCAATTTATCACTCTTACAAATATTATTATTTTTAATTTTAGAGAAAAATATTTTAGATATAAAATAGGAACGGTGTCAAGGAGTACGTATTTTGTTTTTCTTCTAAAGGCGGCAAAAAGATATAAAGATCACCTTCACTTTTCTAAATGGAATTATATGATTTTTTTACGTAGTATGATTCCTCTAATTACATTTATAAAAAGGTTAAAGTAAACTATATATTGATAGATATCTCTACTTTGATACTTTTATATGCAGAATAATTAAAGTAATCGTACTATGTAAAACATTTTTTTATAAAATTAAAGATAAAAAAGTTTTTGGGGATGGTACATCCCCAAACAACTTATCCTGTATCTATTGATATTTCTAGTTTATTGTAGACTAATATGTAACTAATATACACTACCACTCGTAGAAGTTCGGACACTTGCATAATCGAGTGAGCATGTATTTTATGGTGATACACATACTAACATGAATTGTAAAAGCTTGATAAATTATTTTTAATTTTATGTGTAAAAATATATTGTCTTTATTCGCAAAACATTGATAATACAATCGAAAAATTTCAAAAATTTGCAATACATAAAAATAAAAATAATTTATAAAGTTTTTGCAATTGGTGTTAGTATGTGTAAAAGTACCCTAAAATATAGAAAAGAGTAACACAATTGTTTTATATTCTAATTTTTACACAAATATTTAATAAAATTTATACGGGTGTCAGAACTTTCACGAGCGATAAAGTATATATTTATAAACAAAATTCGCTCCTTTGTCCACTTGGGGGGATCCCGTTTGCCTACAAATCGATTGCCTACAGTACCGTTTGCCTACATCCCATTTGCCTACAAATCGATTGCCTACATGTTCTGTTGCCTACAGATCGATTGCCTACATGTATTATTGCCTACAGTTCGATTGCCTACATGTACTATTGCCTACATGTACTTTTGCCTACATGCATTATTGCCTACAGCTCGATTGCCTACAAGCACTTTTGCGCACAAATAAAAATTT